GACCCCCAGGAGGGTCGCAAAGCCTTACACGGGGGTCGCGGGTGAAAGAAAAAGATAAGTGTTTGTAGGTCCTACACTACAATAAAAAAAAAATTGAATTTCAGTGAGAAGGCTGTGCCTGTTTATTTTACAGTACAATTGGTTTTTCGATCGATATTTAAAGAAAGAAAATTAAATATGTAGTTTTTAAAATCACCGAAATAGTTTTAATATAGCCCTGGAGGGTCACCGGAAGTTTTTAACTTGTAAAGGGGTTGCATATTCAAGAAGGTTGAAAAACACTGTTCTAGATGACCAGTTGAAGCCAATGAAAAAAAATAAAGGTACTGATTGAAGCAAACTGCTGAATAATAACACATGAAATCACTAAGAAATTAAATTTGTCGAATTGAACCATTTATGATTACTTGAAATGAATTGGTTTTGTTTCAAAGCTTGATATACTAGTTCCACATGTTCTTAAAGAGAGATGCTCTCTTTGGTGGAATTTTAAGGAAATTTTTTTTGAGCTTTTACCAGACAATTTAACAATTGATTTGAAAGTTTACTTCCATCGAGTAAACAAATTGAATATCATCATCAAACAGAAAAGGTCAGAATTGATCATCAAAACAGGTGTAGTGTTTTACCATGACAATGCCAAATTTGACACAAGTTTGGTAACTGTCAGAAACTGTTACAGCTTAGATGGGATGTGCTATCGTACCAACTATATTTGCCAGATCAGGCACTCTCAGATTATTGTGTGTTCCGGTCTTTATAAAATTTTTTAAACTGTAAGATGTTTACTTGAAATGAAAATGTCAAAAATTACTTGGATTGTTTTTTGTAAGCAACATCAAAATTTTTATAAACGTGGAATCATGCTACTACCAGAAACAATGGCAACAGGTATTTGACCAAAATGGTCAATATATAATTCAATAAAATATTTATTTAGTATAAAAATATTGTTTTTTGCCACAGAAAAAATGAAATTACTTTCTGAACAACTCAATAAAATTATTTTTGTAAATATTTTTATTCATTAACAAACATATTTTAACCTGTTTAACATATAAGTAAATATCAAGGGGAAAATTAATACTTGGGGATTTATATCTATATTTTTAATCTTAATGATGACATGCAAAAATAAGATCTTGAATTAAGAAATAAATTATTGATTACAATTATTATTTATTTATCATCTTCTGAACTTTGCAAAAATAATAATGGTTAAGCTAATTATAACTTATAACTAATAAAATCAGTTTTTTATTATTATATTTCCATGTATTAAATTTCTATAAATTAAATGCTTTTGTAAATTATAATAATTTATTAATTAAATTAAAATTACTTTTTTGAAACAGATAATAATAATAATAATTAAAATTCATGTATTATTTTTTTAAAGTATAAAATGTTCATTAGCTATTTCATCATAATAGAAAATTATTTTGGCAACCTGAAAGTAAAATAATTCTTCTTATATTTATACTATAATTTATAATGGAAATGTCAAATAACATGGTTCATTAGTTATTTTATCTGTAAACTGTTCAAAAAGAACAGTTTTCGTATTAAATTGTTATACCAATGTTAAATGTAACATAATTGAAATTATTCAAGGCAAGTAAATTGATATGAAAACAGAATTTTTACATATTGTATTTTCATATCAATTTACTTGTCTTGAACAATTATTGATTTCCATGTTATCATTTGTAACACTAACATAAAATGATATTCTACCAGTTAGTGTATCTGTTTTAAAAGATGAAAAAGTTGACAATTTATTATTTTGTATTTAATATTTTAAAACTCTTGGGTAATAACAAATATTTAAATTAGTTGATCTAAATTCATATCTAAGTTTACCTGCAATTTATGTTTGTGTTCAACTCTTACCTGTTATATTGTTGTATATGTTACAGACTAAGTGATTAATATGGACATTATTCACAATGCCTGGAATATTTATCAAGCTGCATGGCCATTTTAGTCATTCATAATGGTTGGGCATTATAAATAATGCACTTGGCCCATAACATATATACTCAATTCCATACAAGACTATTATTACATTATTAATAACAATAGATAGAATAATGCAGGTTTTGAATTTAATTATCTAAAAGTTGTTACACATACAATTACAGTATCAAAAGATCTGTCCTACATGTTGAAAAAGGCTTATTATACAACATTTATACAATATTTGCACCATTTTCAATTGAGATAATTCTACATCCAAAAGTAAAGAAAATTTGTACTCTAACGAAATTGGTAATATGTAGAAGCAGTCATATTGTTGAAGTGATGGAAAATGGAGTCAAAATACAGTGTTTTTAGTGCTGACACTAAAAGCAACTAGTTGTTTTTCTGACTGCTGTGCACCAAAATCAGTTCTTTTAGCAAATAACCTGCATATGTATTAATATACTTAGTTCATTTACTTTATCGAACTCATCTATATAAGAAACTGCAAAATAATGAAGATTTAATGCTCCATTAAGATTATTATTTATATTGGGTTGTTTGAAAAATTGCTATGAACTTTCCATAGTCAACAGTTGAGACAATAGATGAAGCAAAAGTTATTAGAATTGTATGAGTCAATGAATATTACAAAAATGATGTCTATTTACATTAAAAGTCCATTACAAAAAATCCATTAAGATTATTTAAATAATCTTAACAATTTTTTTTTTAAATGGACGTTTAATGTCTTGTGAAAAAGCAAGTCACATTTTTGACATTTGTTTCCTTTATTGAAAAGGCAAAAATACCACACAAACAGCAAAAGAAATATGTGATGTTTACAGTGGGGTGCTGTAACAGTCAGCTGTTCAAAAGTGTTTGCTAAATTTAAGGCAGGTAATTTTAACCTTAAAGATGCTCCATGCTCCAAAAGACCAGCCGTTATTAAAGAGGACCAGATTAAAACATTATTGAAAGACAACCCTCGTTACACAGCTTTAGAGATAATAGAGTGAAATCATTGAACAGTACTGTATTTCAACATCTGAAGCAGCTCAGATATGTNTAACATATATACTCAATTCCATACAAGACTATTATTATATTATTAATAACAATAGAATAATGCAAGTTTTGAATTTAATTATCTAAAAGTTGTTACACATACAATTACAGTATCAAAAGATCTGTCATGCATGTTGGAAAAGGCTTATTATACAACATTTATACAATATTTGCACCATTTTCAATTGAGATAATTCTACATCCAAAAGTAAAGAAAATTTGTACTCTAACGAAATTGGTAATATGTAGAAGCAGTCATATTGTTGAAGTGATGGAAAATGGAGTCAAAATACAGTGTTTTTAGTGCTGACACTAAAAGCAACTAGTTGTTTTTCTGACTGCTGTGCACCAAAATCAGTTCTTTTAGCAAATAACCTGCATATGTATTAATATACTTAGTTCATTTACTTTATCGAACTCATCTATATAAGAAACTGCAAAATAATGAAGATTTAATGCTCCATTAAGATTATTATTTATATTGGGTTGTTTGAAAAATTGCTATGAACTTTCCATAGTCAACAGTTGAGACAATAGATGAAGCAAAAGTTATTAGAATTGTATGAGTCAATGAATATTACAAAAATGATGTCTATTTACATTAAAAGTCCATTACAAAAAATCCATTAAGATTATTTAAATAATCTTAACAATTTTTTTTTTAAATGGACGTTTAATGTCTTGTGAAAAAGCAAGTCACATTTTTGACATTTGTTTCCTTTATTGAAAAGGCAAAAATACCACACAAACAGCAAAAGAAATATGTGATGTTTATGGTGAGGGTGCTGTAACAGTCAGCTGTTCAAAAGTGTTTGCTAAATTTAAGGCAGGTAATTTTAACCTTAAAGATGCTCCATGCTCCAAAAGACCAGCCGTTATTAAAGAGGACCAGATTAAAACATTATTGAAAGACAACCCTCGTTACACAGCTTTAGAGATAATAGAGTGAAATCATTGAACAGTACTGTATTTCAACATCTGAAGCAGCTCAGATATGTAAATTATTACATTTGGGTACCTGATGACTTAACAGAAAAAAATTTACTGAAGTGCATTTCCATTTGTGATTCTCTTCAAAAACAAAATGAAAATGAACCTTTTCTGAAACATTTAGTGACAGATGATGAAAAGTGGATCATTTACAACAGCATCAGCCAAAAATGATTGTGGGGCAAGAAAAATGAACCACCATTAAAATCTCCAAAGCCAGACTTCATCTGAAAGAGGTCTTGTTCACTGTCTGGTGGGATTGGAAAAAATTCTGTACTATGAGCTGCTTTCACAGAATCAAACAATTGAAGGAAAACATCCAGAATTGGCCAACAAAATAGGCATTGTGTTTCATCAAGATAATGCTAGACTGCACATTTCTTTACAAACACATCAAAAATATTGGAACTAGGTTGGAATGTTTTATCCCAGTTCCCATACTCACCTGACCTTGCCCTGTCAGACTATATTTGTACTGGACTTTGCAGAATTCCCTTTGTGATAAAAACTTTGAAAGTTTGCAAAACCTATATGAAACAATTTTTTGCAGGAGAGTTCCATGAAGAGAGTATTATGAAGCTTCTGCATAGATGGCAACATGCAACATGTCATTAAAAACAATAGTGCATACATAATTGACCAACATAGAAAATGCTTTTGACAAACAAAGCTCTTTAGAAAGTTAGTTATATTTAGATTTCATAAAATCAAATGAAAAAGAACTTCAATTTTTATGATCATTAGATGAAAATAATTTACAAAAATCAATTAAATGAGAATATTAATATTTTTAAATTTAAGAAATAAAATATATTTATTTTGAGTGTATTTTCCAATATCTTTTTCTTGTACTTTACTAGATACTTTGATTAACTAAATTTTAAGCAGAAAACAGTAATGTCAAGAAAAATTTATAATCTGTTTTAAGAATTTTATTATATTTATTTATTTTAAATAAGAATTTTTTAAAACATATACATTTACAGAATATGTTGTATTTTACCTTTTGAATTCTTTTAAAATATGGAGTACGTATCCAATCAGGATCATCATCATTTTCATCATGTTCACTTTCAGGTTCAGAAGATTCTATTATTACATTCTCTACTTTTTTCTAAAATAAGTAAAATCAAAATTATTAAAAATATGTTCTGACAAATAAATTTATTTATAAAATTTTTTATGAATCAATATTTTTATTAAATCTGAATCTTAATTATGTAATAATGAATTCACTTATTATTAAATGATTAAGAAAGAATATATATTTGACTAATAAAATAATAGATTATTAATGAATTTCATTGTATTCACACACACACAGAGTTAGCAGTTTCATTTTGCCAAAGTATTAAAAAATAGTTATACAAGTTTTCTTTAAAAGCTTAGTTTCCAAGTATATCTTCAGATTTGTTTTTTAGACTTATTGAAACCAAATCAGAATTATTAACAAAATAAGATCTTATTAAATTTTAACATAGAACAAAACAATTAAGTTTTCAGCTACAATTTTTTGTTTATGATGATTTTCATCTCTTTCCAAAAAAACTGATTTCATAGAATATCAATGGACAAATTTCAATATAAAATTTGTTTTTTTTTTTTCATGAATTGGACATAAACACCAATAGACATTACAGATGAACTTTGCCATTTCAATATGATACTTAGATAGCAATCAGAACAGAACAAGCAATGGATGGAAGAAAGCTGAGCACAGCAATTAGAAAGCTCAAATGTAAAAAAAAAAACTGTTTCTTCAACATTCATGATGTCCACAAGGAATTTGTTCCAGGTAATCAAAAAGTCAATGAGTTTTGTCTCATGTATTGGACTTTTCAAAAAGCATATGTCCATTGTCTCCACCATGAATTGGTAGAGTGATTAGATTCTCCATCACAATAATATGCCTGAGCATTCTTTGATCATCAAATGTAAACATTTGTCACAAAAACAAATTCCAGTGTTTCAATATTCACTGTACAGTGCTAATTCTCACTATCCAACTTTTTCTCATTTCCAAAGATTCATTCTGAGTTAATAAAAGACTGATAGAGACTTCTGCAATGTTTCCATGGCTGGCAGGAAAGAGATCATAAATTTGTTACATTGATAAGAAACTACTATTATTGTATTGGGGCATAATTTTGTGTACATTTAACTAATAAAGCATTTATAATAAAATTATTTTTTTTGGAAACATTATAAACACCTTTTCACTTAAAAATTACAATTAGGATATAGTTGGAAAAAATTATTCAACTTATTCAAGCATTAAATTAAAAATATCAAATTTATAGCTTATTTTCAAACATTCTAGCAACTGATTTAACTGTAATGGATTTGAATTTATAGAAGTTTTAAATATTTAACATTTAATAAATTATTCCATTTGTTTATAATGATGATAAAACTTCATCTGACTACAATATAAATACTGATTATTGACATTATATGCATGATACTGAATGTGTGAATTAGAGCTGAAAATTGTATTAAAAAAGCAACTTAATAAAAAGGGAAAGATTATTTTGCAATAAAACAGTTTAAATAATTAATTAATATGATATAAAATAATGAATTAAATAATTGGAATTACAGATTAGCATTGAATTACAAGCAGGAGTGAATTACAGATTAGCATTGCATTCATCAAAAGATAGTATTCAAAGCAATAATTGTTACTAATACAAGTAGTCCTCGGTTTACGCCACAGTTCTGTTTCTACAAAAGCTGGCGCAAATCGAATCGGCATAAAATGAACCTATATTAACAGTGAGGTATAGGGCTAGGTTCTATATAAGTAAAAAATTAGCAAATAATTTTGTTTATTAATACAATATAATACAAAATACATATAAATTTAATTTTTAAAATGTATTTTATCATAAAATAAAGTGAAATGTTTTTATTAAAAAATTTAGGTTTCAAATCTCTTACATTTTTCAGAAAAAAGTATCCATCTTTAATTGTTTACATTTTTGTTTTCTTTCATTGAGAATTTTGGAATATGGTCGAATGGATGCGATAATGCTCCTTTTTACATTTGCACCTTGCTCCCAATCATTGTCTAACTCACAAAGTTCATCCACCAAACTTTCCATAGTTGAATGGATATGTTAACCCAACATAGAGCTACAGACGAGTGGAGACACTGATTGGTTGACTACCAGTCGCCATAGCGCATATATAAGGTCAGTTTGAGCAGGAAAATTGAAGGTGGCTAAGGAGAGATAGATATCGTCTGACTAATAACAAGTAGATATCGTCTGGCTAATAAAAAAAAGTATCATCTGGCCAACGAGAAGTAGATTTGTCTCACTAATGATAGTTTGTGATCACCAGAAGTGCTACTATGTCATAAGGTGTTTTCCTGAACGAACTGATATGGGATACATTCATTGGTGTTATGGATTCGGACACCATTTATTGGACTATTAAGTTTAATAACTTGATTCATGGATACCTAAACATTTAGTATTTTAATATTAATTTAATGCAAATGTATACATACCCAATAATATTAAACAGAAAAAAATAAACATATTCAATAAAAATCTTTGTTTTAACGAATTTACAATGTTGTGGCTCGGTAAATACATCAACACTGAAATGAAAATCAGTCTAGCATAGGGAAAATCGGAGAATTACATCGCAAAATGGCAAATTGTGCAGCAGTGTTATTGTGAATCAGTGTAAATTGAGCTGGCGTAAACCGAGGGCTACCTGTACTAATAAAGAAATCAGTTCTCATGACAGAGGATCATAATTGGAGCAGGAGAAATATCAGTTAATAAATGATAAACTTATAAAACATTTATTACTTCAAAAATTTTGAAGTAATAAATGAGAGTGATCAAGACTAAGATATTACTGATCTACAATTTCAAAACTGCATTAAAGAATTCTGTAATGATTATTAATGAAAATAAAATTGATGATTATTTTGAATTTAATTTATTTTATAGTAATTGTATGGTGCTAGTAGTAGTTTTATCATTATCTTCATATTTGGATTTTTTTCATCCATTTGATTTTTATTTATATTAATTAAGATTTTTGAGATCAAATTTAAACATTCACTATATATATATATATGAATATATTATTCATCATGATATATTGTTCATATCAACATTTTAGATTCTAGGCTTATTACAAATCAAAGTAATGAGGAAAAAAACAAAATCATAACTAGTAAATGTATATTTTTATAACTTGCAAACAAGTAAAAAATAAATAAATAAAATAAATTATTTCTAACCTTTGCAGCATCCGATTCCTTAGGAAAAACTTCTGGCAAAAGTGAAGTTCTAGACCCTTTGTATTTTGACACTAATAATTTCTATATAATAAACAGTTTGTATTTATAAATTGTTATTAAATTTTAATCACAACTTATATATAGCAAACATACTTTTTTCAATGCTTCACATTCATTTGATTTCTGTTGAAGTTCATCATACAGATAACTCAACCTAGTAATTTCACTTTCCTATTTGAAATAATTCATTTTTATTTTATTAAAAAAATAAATTATTTCTAAGTTTTAATAAAAAAAATTATTTGTTAACTTACTTGAAATTTAATTCTTTCAATAAGTGAAGACTCAACATCGGAATGACTAGTGGTTAGGTTTGAATTAGATGAATGTTGCATTTGTTTTAACAAATATAACGTCTAAAAACAAATGATTTTAATAAAGTTAAATCAAGTAATTTACAATAAAAAAAGCATTACCTTATCTTCATGTTCTCTTGCTTGAGAAACTAATTCTTCTTGATGTTTCTTTTTCATTTTCTCAATTTCTTCTTTCTGTTCTTCATTAATTTTTGTTATATCCTCTAAAGTATTTTGAAATTCTTTACATTTCCTTTCTGATAAAAACATGTCAATTTTTGCAGCAACTGCCTAATAACAGAATAGAATTTAACTGTAAAAATTATAATTTTCACACTTAAATAAATTATAAAAATATAACAAAATTAATTCAATTAAATTATTATTAGGATTTGTCTTACATTTTCAAATAACCATTTTAATGCACATTTAGTTTCTACCATGGTATTCATATTCTCCCATCTATGTTTTGCTTTTTCATCTAAATTTTAATCAAAAATTTTTTACTGAATTAAAAAAACATTTTTTGCAAAAAGAAATATAAATACAAAATCAATTACTATATTACCTTGATCAACATCCAGTATTCTCTGTTGCAAATCAGCAATCTGAGCATTACGTAAATGTAAGTCTTGCTGCAATTGATTTATTTGTTGTTGTTGATTTATTACATCAGGATCATCATTTGTTTTCTGCTATAATTTTCAATACAGAAATTCAATATCAATAAATATAGGCCTGTGACAGTAATCCCACATTGCCTATCTTGAGGACAATAGGCATCCACTCTTCATAGAGAAATGAGGGGGGAACCCATCAATTATATAATAATAAATTTGTAATATTATGAAATATTTAAAACATTTACATTAGAATTTTGTTCATCTGGCACCCTCTGAAAAGTAGCTGATAATCTGGAATTGTCTGATAATGTGCAAATTGGAATTTGAACATTTGGTGGCTAAAGACCCCAGAAATAACATGGTCATTAGTGTTTTTGTTTTAGATTTTTCAATCAACCTTAATACAGTATAGGCATGCTCTTTAATCAGTCTGAAGATGTATGACTATGCCTCTTCAAACTGATTAGAGCATCTGTAAACAAATCAGAAGCCTATAAGAAATATAAAATGTATGGCAATGTTCAGATCATATCTAATTTATTGAATTTTGCAGAATACAAAAAAATTCTGCTCCCAAAGAAGCCCTATCAACAAACTTCTACAATATTTCACAAAATCATTTGAGCATATTAAATATGCTCAAATTATTCAACTTACAAATACACCCATGTATTTAAACACATCATTATTAAACTAACAAGACTCAAACAGAATTTCAAGCACCAAATCCAAATCTTTGTATACCAAAAAATCTTTGGTATACTGTATTGATCCTATTTACAGACTGAATTTTTACTCCATTGTTATGATTTCTCATGATATTGTATTCATATTTAATTTCATGGTGAATTCCTATTTGTTTTCTAAGTTTAAAGTGCATTTAAAAGAGCATGGATTTTCAACAACTAATAGTTATTCAAAATGTAAAACATGATAATTAAACAATTCCAAAAGTACTATATCAAAAATACTTTCTGATGCCACATTCAGTATATGCAGTATTTTGTAGAAAATTCATCTTAATAAACGATGATCTCACCATTTCTACATATTAAGTGTTTTAAAGGAAATCAGACAGAATTGCCATTGTTTACTTAACACCAAATTAAATTTAATTTCAAATCAAATATAGTTAAACACTGTTTACATATTTCTCAAAGGACTGGACAAAAAAAGAATCAAAATACACTATAAGATGGCAAAACTAATAGTTTGTCATAAAAACTCATAATATTAGAACTTTTAGCAAATGTTTTAATACTGATAATTTATTTTACATTTTTATTGCAAATCTTTTTTTAAAGTAAGTGTTCATCATATATCTGATGAACAGCAATACATTTCAACATGATTTTCACCTATTTAAGACATAAATAACACTAGTGCAGATGGTATATGGTCTTCTACAAATATATATTTTTGAATGCCCATTGAATTGAAAACCATTAGTTTTATGCTAAAATCATTAAGAAAATTATATATTGAAATAAACTTGTTTTGTTAAAGGTATTCTTCATTAACAAATTATTTTTCTGTTACAGGACATCATAAAAGTGAAGCTTTCTACTATAAGGCCAAACTGATGTGAATTCTGTAATTTTAATGAATAACAAAAATTTTGAAATAAATTCATTTCTTGTGTTTGGACAAACTTAATTGTTTAAACAAATCTCATTTTATCAAAATCAACAATTTAGTATAACAAATATTTCATTGCCATGCTTTTGTATTGTAGACAGATGAGGTTAAGATATTTCAGCAAAATTTCTCTCTCATTGGATTCAACCAGCTTAGATATAGTTTTACTATTCCCAACTAAACTTAAAATAGTTTCACACTTAATGAAACTATTTTATACTTTTTCTGCCACCTATATTTTTATTATTATTGTAATTTAATAAAGCTGATTAATATTGTTTTATGTTACTGTTAAAATAAAAACATTGAGATAACATCAATTTGTATTAAAAGAAAAATGAATAAACACACACACATACTGTCCACTTAAACATCATGTTTCCATATTCATTGATGTCTAAATAGTGACTGATATCTGAACATTCTAAACACAACAGTAAATGAATGGATCAATGATTTGCCATTGGTGCAACTACAGCAAGTTTAGTACCAGTATGATGGCATGCAACCTTATTCCCAAACAGATGTGCTTCAGTGACTCAGAGTGGTTTAGCAACTGCTGGATAGGACAACACAGCACTTTTCCATGTAACACATTCTCCAGACTTGACAAATTTGGACTTTTCTTGCTGTGGAACCACCTAAAAGCAGTGCTGTAAGATGCGGTGAACCAGAGATGCATACAACAGGCACATGAAATGGTTACACCAGAAACGCTATGCACCATCCATACCAGCATACTTGATCATCTGCATTTTTATATTGCCACTGAAGATGGTCATTTTGAACATGTTCTCTAGCAAATAAAAGATTACTTTTGTATATCAATTTGTGCAATGCTGTCTTTTTTTCTTTACAGTCAGATAATTTGTGTTATGCTAAATCATCTGAAATTGATTCCCTTCAGTTAATTTAGCACTAGAACAATGCTAAATTGTTCTAGTGCTAAATTAACTGAAGGGATAAATTAACTTAATGCATGAATGTCTGTGTGAAACCCCACATGCACACATTCATCTAATGCTGAAAAGATCTTTACCTCTGGATAAGTGCTTAATTGGATGCCTGCCTTGTACAGTTAATCAAATTATAGAAAATATTGAAAAATAAATTTACAGAACATTTTATAGCTAGATACCTGTTTCATTTGTTGAACTTGATTTTTTAAATTATTTAGTTGTTCTGAGATTGATTTTCTATCTTCAAGAAGATTTTGTAAATGATGATCTGCTTCTTTACTACTAACAACCAAATCTAATTCTTGTTGTAACCATTGCTATTTGATAAAGTTAATATATTAAAATTTCTTAAAACCTATGAAAAAAATTTTCAACCCTATTCATTAATTTTCTTACCCGAATGCGATTACCCATTCCTTGTAATGTTTGATCTTTTTCTCTCTCTCTACGTTCTGAAATTGCACGTTGTTGTTGCATTGCCATTTGTAGTTTTTTATTAGCAGCTACAGCTTCTTCCATTTTTCTTTTCAACACATTTTTTTGTTTGGTGTAAATCTTTTCCATTTTTACTAATTCATATTGTCGTTTTCTGTCTTGTTGTCTTAAACGTGCTAATTCTCTGTCTTTTTCTAATTTCCATTGTCTGAATTTTTCTGCTTCTTCTTTCATCTGTTTCAATAATCTAACACGAGCTTGTTTCATTTCTTGAATTTCTTGTTGAAGAACTTTTACTTTTCTATCCGCTTCTTCTTTCATTTTCAGCATACGAGCTTTTTCTGTCATTTCTTTCTTTAATTGACTGATCTGAACTTCTAATTCTTGCAATCTTTTGCGACGCTGTTCACTAATTCTAAAATCAAAATTTAATTTAGAATTTTACACAATTTAAATAATATTAATATTTTTATAATTACCTAAATAATAATGAATAACTAAATTTTAATTATTATATATTTTTTTTAAAGTGGAAAACTCATGAATCTATATAAATAAAACTGTAATGATCAGTATGTTTGTCAGTTTGGATGTTTGCTGCCATATCATGGAAAAACATGAATATATTTTAATCAAACTTCATATTTTGAATCTGTTAATTCAGAAGATGGTTTAAACATACATATCATCTCAACATCTACATTATATAAATTAAACTGTAATGGATTTCTGTCTGTCTGTATGTTTGCTAGCTGGTGTAATATCACACATCAATCAGCACATGCCTGTCAACTGAATATCTATAAGAAAGTTTTCTATTGAAGTGTAGTATTATGTTTGGAGAATTAATATTAAAAAGTAATTAGTGAGAATTGAACATTTATCTATTTTTCTACATAATTGGCCATTTCGATCAATGCATTTTTGTATGCCCATGTCATACCAGTTTGTTGTCATGTGTTAATCTGATTGAAATTCATCACCAATTGATGGAATTGTATGGAGAGTCATGCATGGATGTCAAAAACGCCTGCAAGTGGTATAGGGAGTTTGCAGCTGGTGTACTGAAATTCATGACAAAGAAAGACGCGGGAGACTGTCAATTTCCAACAAGACAGTTGCAACGGTTGAGCAAATCATGTGTGAAAATCGGAAAAGCACTCTGGATGATCTCTGCATTTTGGTTCTTAGGGTTTCCTGAAGCATTATTTATAGAATTTTAACACAAAAGTTGCAATATCAGAAGGTGTGCACAAGATGAGGCCTGTGACATGGTGGAAAGCTGGTATAATACAAACATACAAAAACTACCACAGCACCTATAAAAATCATCAACCGAAATGGCAATTATGTAGAAAAATAGATAAATGTTCAAGCTTTAAAATGATGTAAACATTAATAAAAATAAACATTTCTTTGCATTTCTAAAAAAATGGGAGACCTTAGAAAAAACACATTTCTTTTTGGACTATACATATAATTGAGTCCACCTTCATCTGTTCCTTCACATGCTTTACAGAGACAATAACAAATCTACTACGATACTGACCTTTTATTTGAGGCTACACGTCCGCTGTCCAATGTAAAAATGTGTGAAGGGACAGATGAAGATGGACTCAATTATATGTATAGTCCGAAAAGAAATATATTTTTTCTATATGTGAATTTATCCTGGCAATTTTCAAATTTTAATAGGAGACCTTACTTTTGAGATTATCCTCATATATACACTGTATAAACATCTCTTAAACCCAACAGTTATATTAAAGCCAAACAATGGCTAGATTAAATAGGGCTATATTACAATACAGGTATACCTCTAGTTACGTCATTCTCGATTATATGTCGTTTGTCAAAAAAAATATCTGAAAAATAAAAATCAAGTTTGAGTCATTTTATTCGACATTACGTCTGTCCGTCACAAATATTGAAGTCATAATATCACTAGAAAACCATTAAAGCACATAAAATCATATTAAAATATGTACATTTACAGTAAATGTTAATATAATCACCATAAATCCTAGAGAACGAAACATGAAAACATTGTGACTGTGTTGGCATCTTATTTAGTGGTCTTTAAGTACTCAATATTGGTGTTTTCCACGATAGTTCCAATATCTAACATTTGGCTTCGTTGTCAGCACCACTCGATATTGGTTAATTTAATATAAACTAATTTATTTTCTACTGTCGCAAGATAATTTTAATAACTGTATTTGTTATTTAACCTTACAAAATCATCTTATTTTATAATGTCCTTAGAGAAAACCACATTCACAAATAAAGAGTCCGCGATATACTGTAAACATCACCAAATTGTAAACATGTACTGTACATTTACAAGTATGTACTGTATGTACATGAATCCATAAATTTAGATTACTTTTTTCTGTACTATATTAAAAACTAAAATTTATTNTGATTAAGAAAGAATATATATTTGACTAATAAAATAATAGATTATTAATGAATTTCATTGTATTCACACACACACAGAGTTAGCAGTTTCATTTTGCCAAAGTATTAAAAAATAGTTATACAAGTTTTCTTTAAAAGCTTAGTTTCCAAGTATATTTTCAGATTTGTTTTTTAGACTTATTGAAACCAAATCAGAATTATTAACAAAATAAGATCTTATTAAATTTTAACATAGAACAAAACAATTAAGTTTTCAGCTACAATTTTTTGTTTATGATGATTTTCATCTCTTTCCAAAAAACTGATTTCATAGAATATCAATGGACAAATTTCAATATAAAATTTGTTTTTTTTTTTTCATGAATTGGACATAAACACCAATAGACATTACAGATGAACTTTGCCATTTCAATATGATACTGAGATAGCAATCAGAACAGAACAAGCAATGGATGGAAGAAAGCTGAGCACAGCAATTAGAAAGCTCAAATGTAAAAAAAAAAACTGTTTCTTCAACATTCATGATGTCCACAAGGAATTTGTTCCAGGTAATCAAAAAGTCAATGAGTTTTGTCTCATGTATTGGACTTTTCAAAAAGCATATGTCCATTGTCTCCACCATGAATTGGTAGAGTGATTAGATTCTCCATCACAATAATATGCCTGATCACTCTTTGATCATCAAATGCAAACATTTGTCACAAAAACAAATTCCAGTGTTTCAATATTCACTGTACAGTGCTAATTCTCACTATGCAACTTTTTCTCATTTCCAAAGATTCATTCTGAGTTAATAAAAGACTGATAGAGACTTCTGCAATGTTTCCATGGCTGGCAGGAAAGAGATCATAAATTTGTTACATTGAGAAGAAACTACTATTAATGTATTGGGACATAATTTTGTGTACATTTAACTAATAAAGCATTTATAATAAAATTATTTTTTTTGGAAACATTATAAACACCTTTTCACTTAAAAATTACAATTAGGATATAGTTGGAAAAAATTATTCAATTTATTCAAGCATTAAATTAAAAATATCAAATTTATAGCTTATTTTCAAACATTCTAGCAACTGATTTAACTGTAATGGATTTGAATTTATAGAAGTTTTAAATATTTAACATTTAATAAATTATTCCATTTGTTTATAATGATGATAAAACTTCATCTGACTACAATATAAATACTGATTATTGACATTATATGCATGATACTGAATGTGTGAATTAGAGCTGAAAATTGTATTAAAAAAGCAACTTAATAAAAAGGGAAAGATTATTTTGCAATAAAACAGTTTAAATAATTAATTAATATGATATAAAATAATGAATTAAATAATTGGAATTACAGATTAGCATTGAATTACAAGCAGGAGTGAATTACAGATTAGCATTGCATTCATCAAAAGATAGTATTCAAAGCAATAATTGTTACTAATACAAGTAGTCCTCGGTTTACGCCACAGTTCTGTTTCTACAAAAGCTGGCGCAAATCGAATCGGCATAAAATGAACCTATATTAACAGTGAGGTATAGGGCTAGGTTCTATATAAGTAAAAAATAAGCAAATAATTTTGTTTATTAATACAATATAATACAAAATACATATAAATTTAATTTTTAAAATGTATTTTATCATAAAATAAAGTGAAATGTTTTTATTAAAAAATTTAGGTTTCAAATCTCTTACATTTTTCAGAAAAAAGTATCCATCTTTAATTGTTTACATTTTTGTTTTCTTTCATTGAGAATTTTGGAATATGGTCGAATGGATGCGATAATGCTCCTTTTTACATTTGCACCTTGCTCCCAATCATTGTCTAACTCACAAAGTTCATCCACCAAACTTTCCATAGTTGAATGGATATGTTAACCCAACATAGAGCTACAGACGAGTGGAGACACTGATTGGTTGACTACCAGTCGCCATAGCGCATATATAAGGTCAGTTTGAGCAGGAAAATTGAAGGTGGCTAAGGAGAGATAGATATCGTCTGACTAATAACAAGTAGATATCGTCTGGCTAATAAAAAAAAGTATCATCTGGCCAACGAGAAGTAGATTTGTCTCACTAATGATAGTTTGTGATCACCGGAAGTGCTACTATGTCATAAGGTGTTTTCCTGAACGAACTGATATGGGATACATTCATTGGTGTTATGGATTCGGACACCATTTATTGGACTATTAAGTTTAATAACTTGATTCATGGATACCTAAACATTTAGTATTTTAATATTAATTTAATGCAAATGTATACATACCCAATAATATTAAACAGAAAAAAATAAACATATTCAATAAAAATCTTTGTTTTAACGAATTTACAATGTTGTGGCTCGGTAAATACATCAACACTGAAATGAAAATCAGTCTAGCATAGGGAAAATCGGAGAATTACATCGCAAAATGGCAAATTGTGCAGCAGTGTTATTGTGAATCAGTGTAAATTGAGCTGGCGTAAACCAAGGGCTACCTGTACTAATAAAGAAATCAGTTCTCATGACAGAGGATCATAATTGGAGCAGGAGAAATATCAGTTAATAAATGATAAACTTATAAAACATTTATTACTTCAAAAATTTTGAAGTAATAAATGAGAGTGATCAAGACTAAGATATTACTGATCTACAATTTCAAAACTGCATTAAAGAATTCTGTAATGATTATTAATGAAAATAAAATTGATGATTATTTTGAATTTAATTTATTTTATAGTAATTGTATGGTGCTAGTAGTAGTTTTATCATTATCTTCATATTTGGATTTTTTTCATCCATTTGATTTTTATTTATATTAATTAAGATTTTTGAGATCAAATTTAAACATTCACTATATATATATATATGAATATATTATTCATCATGATATATTGTTCATATCAACATTTTAGATTCTAGGCTTATTACAAATCAAAGTAATGAGGAAAAAAACAAAATCATAACTAGTAAATGTATATTTTTATAACTTGCAAACAAGTAAAAAATAAATAAATAAAATAAATTATTTCTAACCTTTGCAGCATCCGATTCCTTAGGAAAAACTTCTGGCAAAAGTGAAGTTCTAGACCCTTTGTATTTTGACACTAATAATTTCTATATAATAAACAGTTTGTATTTATAAATTGTTATTAAATTTTAATCACAACTTATATATAGCAAACATACTTTTTTCAATGCTTCACATTCATTTGATTTCTGTTGAAGTTCATCATATAGATAACTCAACCTAGTAATTTCACTTTCCTATTTGAAATAATTCATTTTTATTTTATTAAAAAAATAAATTATTTCTAAGTTTTAATAAAAAAAATTCTTTGTTAACTTACTTGAAATTTAATTCTTTCAATAAGTGAAGACTCAACATCGGAATGACTAGTGGTTAGGTTTGAATTAGATGAATGTTGCATTTGTTTTAACAAATATAACGTCTAAAAACAAATGATTTTAATAAAGTTAAATCAAGTAATTTACAATAAAAAAAGCATTACCTTATCTTCATGTTCTCTTGCTTGAGAAACTAATTCTTCTTGATGTTTCTTTTTCATTTTCTCAATTTCTTCTTTCTGTTCTTCATTAATTTTTGTTATATCCTCTAAAGTATTTTGAAATTCTTTACATTTCCTTTCTGATAAAAACATGTCAATTTTTGCAGCAACTGCCTAATAACAGAATAGAATTTAACTGTAAAAATTATAATTTTCACACTTAAATAAATTATAAAAATATAACAAAATTAATTCAATTAAATTATTATTAGGATTTGTCTTACATTTTCAAATAACCATTTTAATGCACATTTAGTTTCTACCATGGTATTCATATTCTCCCATCTATGTTTTGCTTTTTCATCTAAATTTTAATCAAAAATTTTTTACTGAATTAAAAAAACATTTTTTGCAAAAAGAAATATAAATACAAAATCAATTACTATATTACCTTGATCAACATCCAGTATTCTCTGTTGCAAATCAGCAATCTGAGCATTACGTAAATGTAAGTCTTGCTGCAATTGATTTATTTGTTGTTGTTGATTTATTACATCAGGATCATCATTTGTTTTCTGCTATAATTTTCAATACAGAAATTCAATATCAATAAATATAGGCCTGTGACAGTAATCCCACATTGCCTATCTTGAGGACAATAGGCATCCACTCTTCATAGAGAAATGAGGGGGGAACCCATCAATTATATAATAATAAATTTGTAATATTATGAAATATTTAAAACATTTACATTAGAATTTTGTTCATCTGGCACCCTCTGAAAAGTAGCTGATAATCTGGAATTGTCTGATAATGTGCAAATTGGAATTTGAACATTTGGTGGCTAAAGACCCCAGAAATAACATGGTCATTAGTGTTTTTGTTTTAGATTTTTCAATCAACCTTAATACAGTATAGGCATGCTCTTTAATCAGTCTGAAGATGTATGACTATGCCTCTTCAAACTGATTAGAGCATCTGTAAACAAATCAGAAGCCTATAAGAAATATAAAATGTATGGCAATGTTCAGATCATATCTAATTTATTGAATTTTGCAGAATACAAAAAAATTCTGCTCCCAAAGAAGCCCTATCAACAAACTTCTACAATATTTCACAAAATCATTTGAGCATATTAAATATGCTCAAATTATTCAACTTACAAATACACCCATGTATTTAAACACATCATTATTAAACTAACAAGACTCAAACAGAATTTCAAGCACCAAATCCAAATCTTTGTATACCAAAAAATCTTTGGTATACTGTATTGATCCTATTTACAGACTGAATTTTTACTCCATTGTTATGATTTCTCATGATATTGTATTCATATTTAATTTCATGGTGAATTCCTATTTGTTTTCTAAGTTTAAAGTGCATTTAAAAGAGCATGGATTTTCAACAACTAATAGTTATTCAAAATGTAAAACATGATAATTAAACAATTCCAAAAGTACTATATCAAAAATACTTTCTGATGCCACATTCAGTATATGCAGTATTTTGTAGAAAATTCATCTTAATAAACGATGATCTCACCATTTCTACATATTAAGTGTTTTAAAGGAAATCAGACAGAATTGCCATTGTTTACTTAACACCAAATTAAATTTAATTTCAAATCAAATATAGTTAAACACTGTTTACATATTTCTCAAAGGACTGGACAAAAAAAGAATCAAAATACACTATAAGATGGCAAAACTAATAGTTTGTCATAAAAACTCATAATATTAGAACTTTTAGCAAATGTTTTAATACTGATAATTTATTTTACATTTTTATTGCAAATCTTTTTTTAAAGTAAGTGTTCATCATATATCTGATGAACAGCAATACATTTCAACATGATTTTCACCTATTTAAGACATAAATAACACTAGTGCAGATGGTATATGGTCTTCTACAAATATATATTTTTGAATGCCCATTGAATTGAAAACCATTAGTTTTATGCTAAAATCATTAAGAAAATTATATATTGAAATAAACTTGTTTTGTTAAAGGTATTCTTCATTAACAAATTATTTTTCTGTTACAGGACATCATAAAAGTGAAGCTTTCTACTATAAGGCCAAACTGATGTGAATTCTGTAATTTTAATGAATAACAAAAATTTTGAAATAAATTCATTTCTTGTGTTTGGACAAACTTAATTGTTTAAACAAATCTCATTTTATCAAAATCAACAATTTAGTATAACAAATATTTCATTGCCATGCTTTTGTATTGTAGACAGATGAGGTTAAGATATTTCAGCAAAATTTCTCTCTCATTGGATTCAACCAGCTTAGATATAGTTTTACTATTCCCAACTAAACTTAAAATAGTTTCACACTTAATGAAACTATTTTATACTTTTTCTGCCACCTATATTTTTATTATTATTGTAATTTAATAAAGCTGATTAATATTGTTTTATGTTACTGTTAAAATAAAAACATTGAGATAACATCAATTTGTATTAAAAGAAAAATGAATAAACACACACACATACTGTCCACTTAAACATCATGTTTCCATATTCATTGATGTCTAAATAGTGACTGATATCTGAACATTCTAAACACAACAGTAAATGAATGGATCAATGATTTGCCATTGGTGCAACTACAGCAAGTTTAGTACCAGTATGATGGCATGCAACCTTATTCCCAAACAGATGTGCTTCAGTGACTCAGAGTGGTTTAGCAACTGCTGGATAGGACAACACAGCACTTTTCCATGTAACACATTCTCCAGACTTGACAAATTTGGACTTTTCTTGCTGTGGAACCACCTAAAAGCAGTGCTGTAAGATGCGGTGAACCAGAGATGCATACAACAGGCACATGAAATGGTTACACCAGAAACGCTATGCACCATCCATACCAGCATACTTGATCATCTGCATTTTTATATTGCCACTGAAGATGGTCATTTTGAACATGTTCTCTAGCAAATAAAAGATTACTTTTGTATATCAATTTGTGCAATGCTGTCTTTTTTTCTTTACAGTCAGATAATTTGTGTTATGCTAAATCATCTGAAATTGATTCCCTTCAGTTAATTTAGCACTAGAACAATGCTAAATTGTTCTAGTGCTAAATTAACTGAAGGGATAAATTAACTTAATGCATGAATGTCTGTGTGAAACCCCACATGCACACATTCATCTAATGCTGAAAAGATCTTTACCTCTGGATAAGTGCTTAATTGGATGCCTGCCTTGTACAGTTAATCAAATTATAGAAAATATTGAAAAATAAATTTACAGAACATTTTATAGCTAGATACCTGTTTCATTTGTTGAACTTGATTTTTTAAATTATTTAGTTGTTCTGAGATTGATTTTCTATCTTCAAGAAGATTTTGTAAATGATGATCTGCTTCTTTACTACTAACAACCAAATCTAATTCTTGTTGTAACCATTGCTATTTGATAAAGTTAATATATTAAAATTTCTTAAAACCTATGAAAAAAATTTTCAACCCTATTCATTAATTTTCTTACCCGAATGCGATTACCCATTCCTTGTAATGTTTGATCTTTTTCTCTCTCTCTACGTTCTGAAATTGCACGTTGTTGTTGCATTGCCATTTGTAGTTTTTTATTAGCAGCTACAGCTTCTTCCATTTTTCTTTTCAACACATTTTTTTGTTTGGTGTAAATCTTTTCCATTTTTACTAATTCATATTGTCGTTTTCTGTCTTGTTGTCTTAAACGTGCTAATTCTCTGTCTTTTTCTAATTTCCATTGTCTGAATTTTTCTGCTTCTTCTTTCATCTGTTTCAATAATCTAACACGAGCTTGTTTCATTTCTTGAATTTCTTGTTGAAGAACTTTTACTTTTCTATCCGCTTCTTCTTTCATTTTCAGCATACGAGCTTTTTCTGTCATTTCTTTCTTTAATTGACTGATCTGAACTTCTAATTCTTGCAATCTTTTGCGACGCTGTTCACTAATTCTAAAATCAAAATTTAATTTAGAATTTTACACAATTTAAATAATATTAATATTTTTATAATTACCTAAATAATAATGAATAACTAAATTTTAATTATTATATACTGCAAAATGTAAAATTTTTCACCATCATAATTTGTTGATAATTTATAATTTTAGCCTGAATTAAAGATGATATAACTTTTAGTTGAGAATTTAACATAATTATTATGAACACATTTCTAGTTAAGATCATTTTCCAATAAAAAGTTTTAATTATATATTTAACTAAAATTTGCTGTTTTACTAGATTATTTAATAAATACAAAGTTCTTCATTCTTTAATAATAATGATAAACACAACAACAAATTTTTTTAAAAACTTCTCAAACTTGGTATAATATTCTAAAAAATACCAAATCTATATAAATAAAACTGTAATGATCAGTATGTTTGTCAGTTTGGATGTTTGCTGCCATATCATGGAAAAACATGAATATATTTTAATCAAACTTCATATTTTGAATCTGTTAATTCAGAAGATGGTTTAAACATACATATCATCTCAACATCTACATTATATAAATTAAACTGTAATGGATTTCTGTCTGTCTGTATGTTTGCTAGCTGGTGTAATATCACACATCAATCAGCACATGCCTGTCAACTGAATATCTATAAGAAAGTTTTCTATTGAAGTGTAGTATTATGTTTGGAGAATTAATATTAAAAAGTAATTAGTGAGAATTGAACATTTATCTATTTTTCTACATAATTGGCCATTTCGATCAATGCATTTTTGTATGCCCATGTCATACCAGTTTGTTGTCATGTGTTAATCTGATTGAAATTCATCACCAATTGATGGAATTGTATGGAGAGTCATGCATGGATGTCAAAAACGCCTGCAAGTGGTATAGGGAGTTTGCAGCTGGTGTACTGAAATTCATGACAAAGAAAGACGCGGGAGACTGTCAATTTCCAACAAGACAGTTGCAACGGTTGAGCAAATCATGTGTGAAAATCGGAAAAGCACTCTGGATGATCTCTGCATTTTGGTTCTTAGGGTTTCCTGAAGCATTATTTATAGAATTTTAACACAAAAGTTGCAATATCAGAAGGTGTGCACAAGATGAGGCCTGTGACATGGTGGAAAGCTGGTATAATACAAACATACAAAAACTACCACAGCACCTATAAAAATCATCAACCAAAATGGCAATTATGTAGAAAAATAGATAAATGTTCAAGCTTTAAAATGATGTAAACATTAATAAAAATAAACATTTCTTTGCATTTCTAAAACAATGGGAGACCTTAGAAAAAACACATTTCTTTTTGGACTATACATATAATTGAGTCCACCTTCATCTGTTCCTTCACATGCTTTACAGAGACAATAACAAATCTACTACGATACTGACCTTTTATTTGAGGCTACACGTCCGCTGTCCAATGTAAAAATGTGTGAAGGGACAGATGAAGATGGACTCAATTATATGTATAGTCCGAAAAGAAATATATTTTTTCTATATGTGAATTTATCCTGGCAATTTTCAAATTTTAATAGGAGACCTTACTTTTGAGATTATCCTCATATATACACTGTATAAACATCTCTTAAACCCAACAGTTATATTAAAGCCAAACAATGGCTAGATTAAATAGGGCTATATTACAATACAGGTATACCTCTAGTTACGTCATTCTCGATTATATGTCGTTTGTCAAAAAAAATATCTGAAAAATAAAAATCAAGTTTGAGTCATTTTATTCGACATTACGTCTGTCCGTCACAAATATTGAAGTCATAATATCACTAGAAAACCATTAAAGCACATAAAATCATATTAAAATATGTACATTTACAGTAAATGTTAATATAATCACCATAAATCCTAGAGAACGAAACATGAAAACATTGTGACTGTGTTGGCATCTTATTTAGTGGTCTTTAAGTACTCAATATTGGTGTTTTCCACGATAGTTCCAATATCTAACATTTGGCTTCGTTGTCAGCACCACTCGATATTGGTTAATTTAATATAAACTAATTTATTTTCTACTGTCGCAAGATAATTTTAATAACTGTATTTGTTATTTAACTTTACAAAATCATCTTATTTTATAATGTCCTTAGAGAAAACCACATTCACAAATAAAGAGTCCGCGATATACTGTAAACATCACCAAATTGTAAACATGTACATTTACAAGTATGTACTGTATGTACATGAATCCATAAATTTAGATTACTTTTTTCTGTACTATATTAAAAACTAAAATTTATTTGTTTGTAAGCTTAAAATAGATTCTTATTAACAATATATTATTAAAAATGCATTTATAAATAAAGTACAGAACTGGGAATGGTTATTTGTGGTTTAGCTTAGTGACAAGTAAATTTGACTTACATCATTTTTTGACTTAAGTCGCCTCTCATGGAACCAATTACCGATGTAAGGTGAGGTATACATTACTATCATACTCGCAATGCATCTGCTAAGTTTGATATAATTTTGAATTATGAATGAAAACAATTGTTTCCTACATTAGATCATATTGAATATCAATAGATTTTATCACACAAATGTGACAGATAATCATTTCCACTCATCATATCTTTTTTTCCTACTATTACCACTATACTTAGGAATCCCTATTTTATTTTAACTTCATGTATAGTTTATAACGATATGTTTATTTTCATAAAAAATAAATTTTCAAAAGAGGATTTCCTTAATTAATTTCCAGTTTTTAAACATAAACTTTAATGTTTAAAAACTGGAAATTAATTATTTTTTATTTTGTCTGTAAATTTTCGTCCAATGGAGAATTATTGTTTAATAAAATTGAAGACAAAAACTGACCAAGAAGGGATCACCACTGACCTTCCTTTGTAGGCTACTTGTCGCCGGAAGTTACAAAAAGTCCTATTAAAAAACACAAAACATCTATTTAAAATTATAAATAATTTTAAAAAGGAACTGGTGACATACAGTTGTCCTGCTTACATCCATCTATACCTTCTTCGAAGATTTGGGTCTTCAATTTTATTAAACAATAATTCTCCATCGGATGAAAATTTACAGAAGAAATTCTACATGTATCGTCACCAGGGTGCAGCTTTTCTAAAAATCTGCATTTTCCAGTAGGTAAAAAGCAGTCAAATCCCCAAAGAAGGTATAGATGGATGTAAGCAGGACAACTGTATGTCACCAGTTCCTTTTTAAGAATTATTTATAATTTTAATTGGATATGGTTTGTGTTTTTTAAAAGGACTTTTTGTAACTTCCAGAGACAAGTAGCCTACAAAAGATGGTCAGTTGCCGAAAAAGTGTATAGACTTGGAACACAAAGAATAAATGGTGATCCCCATTTGTGCAGTTTTTGTCTTCAATTTTATTATTTTTTATTTATTAAGTAATTAATCACTTAACTCTTAATTAAAACTTACTTGCTTGTATTATTATTTGTGTGGACAACTTTCAATTGATTAGAGAGTAGTTCTTTTTCTTTTTGCAATTTACTGACTTCTTCCTCCAATTCTTTCAAACAGGCCTAATATTTACAATATAATATGTCAGTTTAAAGTAGTTTCAAAATAAAAAACATAAATTAAAAATCCTAATACTAAATATTTTTAAAAAGATACTTTTTCATTTTATTACAGCAGATGCTGCTTATTAAAATCACATCTGTTGTTATCAGCCTCTTGTTGCAATCACTTTTCAAAGTCCCAAGACATTTGTGCATTTTTTATGCAAATCTCATTGTTTAGAGTGATCAATTTCCCTAACTGATAGACACATTGAAATACTTACTTCGTACTGCAGTCTCATTACAGCCATTTGTGAATCATTTTCTTTCATGCGGAAAGCAAGATCTTCTTTTAAAGCAAGGGCATGTTCTAATTCTTGAAGCTCTCTATTCATAGCTGCTTGTCTTAAAGTTGATTGCAACTGATATTCATTTTCCTCTGCATTATCATCATTTTGCTCTTGTTCAACTTTATCATCATCATCATCATCATCTTTTTCTGTATCCATATCCTAAGGAAAAATATGATACAAGTTATACTGCATTTACATACAACATTTATATTAAACAATATGATTAAAAAGTACAGTACATACTTGTTTCTCTTTATTTGTTGGAGAGAAAAGTGAAAAGTCACATTTTGTTGTTTGTTCAATCTAAAATATAAATAAATAAATAAATATATATATGTATTGTTGTGTGTGAGATCAAGCACTTGATTTTGCTATATTTTATGAAAATGTCAAGCCTAATTCTCTCTTGCAATTGTTAAGAAAACATTGCAATGAAAAAGGATTCAATGTTGTCTTTCTCATCAACAACCACCAAGAAAGTATAACAATTTACAGTTAACGGGATGAGAACGTCAACATTCGCCCACATAAACAGGATGAATCTAATGTTGCACGAACCAAAGATTACATTCTATGATCTGTTTCAACACCTTCTCTTTGTCTCCCTGGATCACCTCTGATCAAACACCTGCAAATTCAACCTTTGTCTTCGACAGTACTCAATCACAATCATTTTCCCAGACCCAAAACAAATATAAGGCAAATGAACCCCTACTTTGGGGTGATTGTCTCTCCAAATCCAATTTATCCCGTGCATCTTTCCAATTAAAAGTCTCCAGCATCAGTTCGATCTTGAAATCACTGAAGAAGAGAAAGAGGTAAGATGTTTCACAACATTTTGTAAACTCTCTCTTGAATTTGGCAACAGTTATCAGTACTTAGGACAGTTTGAATACCCTCTCATCCAGTATACACCACTGATTATTTGTGTATGTATCCAAACTAATGAAACCTTTTGTCAGCTTTTAGTTATTCATTAAAATTTTAATTTTTCTTGTTAATGGTGTCTATTTCTCAAATATCGCTTACGCTTTCTCAATGGCCTCTCTCATCCTCCCACTCGACCTGACTAGCTGATCCTGAAATGCGAAAAACGCGCCAAAAAGAAACACACCATCCACTGATACTGTGGTCGGATCTCGCCGATTAAGTGGTAAATAGGGATCAACTCGCCATATTAGCCCCCAGTTCCTCATAATTATATTATATTAATTTTAAATTTAGATTTGAAATTTAAATTTCTACTAAGATACATAAATTAAATGCTACTAAAATATTTCATAAACATGACAACTTTTAAACAACAAAAAATTATTTAGTTCTCATACAAATTGTTGATTAAATGTTTATCAGTTATTTTAAATTTAAACAAGTAAAATGGCAAAACTGTATTTGGGACAAGACTATGTCTTGGAGACTCACTAGTAAGTGGAATCACTTTGACACTCAAGGCGGGTCTCATTCTCATTCTCCAATCTTCTTTGGTATCACTGCTTTGGGCATGATCATTCAAACTTTGCCAGCCACGACCATGAGGTCGTCCATGATTCATTTTTGATGAAATTAACCTATCCAATTTTTAAAATTCTTTCTGTTGCGTGTTGGCCCAGGTTAAATTTTTGTTGATGCGTAATGAAAATTTCCCATTTTTTGAAAAAAAAATAACTGTGGCTATTGTATCGTCTGAAATTTTTTTAATATTTTGCACAAATATACAGTTTAACCCAATTATAACGTCATCAGATGTAATGACAACCCTAATATAATGTCAAATTTTTATCAGTCCCACAATTTTACTATACTAGATACAGTGGGTGATCAGTTAACGAACATAATCCGTTCCAAGACTTTGTTCGCTATCCGAATTGTTCGTTAACCAATTATCAATTTACCATAGGTTTCTATGGGAATTTGATTAATTCGTTCTGGAGACCACAAAAAAATAAAAAAATATACACTTTCTTACTACGTTTATTCGTATGTAATAATAAAAATACATATATACACGGTCTTGCATTTTTATTAGTCATGTTTTTTCCATTTGTGGGGGTTAAAGAATCTGTCCAATGTCAATTGTTTTTCTGTCTTCTTCATGACTTTTCAGAAGTAATTAATAGCATTGCAATTGTAGAGATCCCTAGGCCTATTAATCTCATCCTGGTTTGGATGCCATTCTAGACCATTTGTTCTGACATCCTCCCACTTCTTCAAAAGATCTTTAATAGCAGATATCAGCATAAATCTGCTTTTTCAGAAGAAAAAGTAAAAGAATCGTTTCTGTCAGAAATATAAAAGGCTGGAATTACAAGGGAGAGTTTCAAAGTTGGGGGAATACTATCCGATTAGTATATACTGGGACGAACATCGATGTTGACGTCTCCCGCGCTCTGAAAAGTTTCGAATTGTTGCCCGAAGACAAAGGAAGATCAATTGGCATTTGTTATTTTACATCACTTCTTCTTGTGTTTATTCAGCGAAGTGTTCATTGTCTGATCATAAAAATCTTTCATGAAAGTGTTCATAAAAATCTTTCATGTTCATTATCCAATTTGTTCGTTAACCGATCACCCACTGTAATGTTAAAAAACCACCTTGTAATGACATAAAACTCTGTTTTAATGTCATATTTGAAGCATTCCAATTTACAAAATTAGATTACAAATTTTATTTAACAAAGAAAATACTATGTGTTTGGTCCTAGGATCAGAGTCAACTTCCTAGAATGACTGTGGGTGGTACTCTCACCACCTGACTTCGGTTTGCCTGTTTGTAGAGAGAGTTGCCATTTTGTATTTTATTTTGACTGGTTCTCAGTCCTGAGTATCTACAAGTCTGGTTTTTTTATGCGTGTATGATTTGGGCACCTAATACTCTGTGCCAAATTGCAATGCTTGACATGTACAGTACTTCTTCATACCTCTAAGCTGGTAACACAGCAGGCAGTATGATTTTATAAACAAGACAGTCTTGTCAGAAATATTAAATAAAAAACACCAGTAATTATTCTTTAATATTTGTTCAAAACAAACTACATAAAAATGCATACAACAAACCTGATAATTATTTTAAATATCAAACAAACAGTTGGATTTTTTTCAGGGTCTTTTTTTAAGGCTAACCTAATTATTAAGTAATTTGACTAGAGATAAATGTAGATTGCATGAACACAATAATTTTCATTAATTTCATTTCTTGTTGAATTTATTTGGTCATCATATTTTGACATAAAATACAAACTATTCTTTACAAAACAAGAAATTAAATATCCTATTTAAAGTATATATAGCATAGTATAAAAAAAAATCTGGCAAGGACTATTGCTTGATTTTCCTGGCATTTGAACAGGAGGATAAGGAAACCAGAAAGTCTGATGATTTTCAATTATATTACAATGAAAAATTTGAAATAACAACAAAAACTTAGGAGGAGTACTAATTTTGTTAAATTTAAGAAATTTTTTTTATTTATAAACAATATTTGTTTAAAAAACAAACACATTAGCACAAAATTAAAATTATGTGTGGCACCATCTGTCATGAGATTTTTTTTATTAAAATTTTTTATATTGTTATTATTTTAAGAAGACAAAAGTGCAGAAGGAGTTTTAAAAACATTATACTAAAACTTTCAAAGAAATATTCATGAACTATTTTGCTATTGTTACATCAATGATTGAATATATTTTCAGTAATTTACATTAATTATAATTGAAGTACTGAATTTTATAAATATTAGAGCATCTAAAACAATCATTTATACATAAGACTGTTCTACAATATTTATATAATATGAATATGCAATTTCTTACAAAAAACTGGTAGCATCAATATCTAATATTTAAGAATACTGATTATTCAATAAAAAATTAACTATTAATATAAACACACAAAATACTTACTTGTAGATTGACGATTCTGTCTTGAAGTTCTTTAATAAGTTCTAATTTTTCTTGTAATTCTGGATTATTTTCAAAAGCTTCATTGAGTGAATTAATTATCATTCTACAAACAATTTTTGAAAAGTGTAATAAGCATTGTCAAATATAATTGCATTTGTTTAATAACATCTTATAATAGTTATAGACTACTATTAAACTATATTAATTAACTTTTACGCTAAATTTTATTTTTCAAATTTAAAAAATTACTGGAATAATTCCAACAAGCAGTAATTTTTCAAATTCAAAAGAATAATGTCAAAGAATAACATTCACTGTAACTTCATAACATTCAACAAAACAATTCAAATTATATATTACTAATTAATCGTTATTTATCACAGTCAAACCCCATTATATCTTTTTAAAAGAAACTGGGAAAAGTATTGTACAAATGAGGAAAACATACAATTGAAACTACTCTCAACTTTCTTTCAGTGAATATACATACTCATCATAAAATTATGGTGCAGCACAAATTAACACTATACAACTGAACTTGTATGTGTAATTCTTAACAAAGAAGATTCAATTCACTATGTATAATACATTTGAACAATGTCTAAAAGAAAAAGTAAAACAGTAAAATTAAGTCATATACAATACTTTTTAAAAGATGATCAAGTTTTGTTTGTTTCTTGTTTTCTTTGATGACTTGGTTGTCTATTGATACGTATGTAATGTCAGTTTCTCCTCCTGCCAAAAATCCAGTCACATGAAACAATGAAGAGTCATTCTAAAGCTAGCTAACACTGACAGAGAAAACAATGAGAAACCAGACATAGTGATTTTATTTGCTGAGGAAAATTGGTTCACACTAAAAACCATGCAAAAATTTTCAATTTTGCACTGGTGGAGCAATTTGCTAAATGGAAATATTCATCAGAAACACTCTGCTATTTTACAAATAAAATAAAACATCTAAAATAATTTAAATACTATCAGTTTTGTAATAAACTTATTTTAAGATTCAGTTTCACCTGAAAACAAACATATTATTTGCTTTTTTCTAGTTAATTTAATTGTTTTATTTAACTAATTCTTATATTATCTGAATAACTGTTGTAAAGTTTTTTATATAATGTGAAAATGAACTTTAGTTAAAAAATTATGAATTTGTTTCAAACTCTTCTGATATATTTATTAATGAGAAAAAAATGTATTAGTTTAATTAATGCATTTTAAAAATATATTGTTCAATTAATGCATGGTCAACTCTATTATCTTAAATCTATCTTATAAAACAGAATTTCTCAAACAAGAGTCAACAGATCAATTGCAGTGTGTCTGAAATATTTAGAAGACAGCTAGTAATGTGTGTTTATTTTCCTAAAAATATACTTATAAAATCAAGCATTTCATTATAGAATATTATTTACCTTTTATACGATTAGCATGTATACTAGTGTGAGAATTGCCAGTGACGCAATTCACATTTCTCCAAGATGGTTTAAGATAGGAGACTGAGAGATTGAAAAATCTCTGTCTTCAAAATTTTGGGAGTATCAAGAGAACAATCAAAGAACTGAGAGAACTTTAGGAGGGAACACACTGAAAACTCAGGGAGAGAACCCAAAAAGTTTGGTGTTCTTGAGTTTTATAGTCCGAATCTCTTCCAATGAGGAGTTATTAAGACACACCATGTGATGGACACCAGGGGTGAGTCGTGCTGCCACAAGATGTGTCAACAACTTTTAAGATAATTAGTGTCATTTGTGGGAAATGAGCTAATCTCAGCCAAACAAAAAGGACGTTCCTTTTTCCTCATTAACTAAACTCAAAAGTAGAGTAGAATTTAATGATCATTTTGAACAAGCAAATTCTCAATGTCTTTTAATAATTAAAACAAAATTAAATAAATCTCTTTTAAATTGGATAAAGCATGTCAGATGGCTTCCAAGTTCTCAAACTAGCATGCTAATATAAAGGGTTATTCATAAACTACATAACAGATACTATATTTTTGATGAGACCATGCCTCTCTAAAATTGCCCTGCTGTCAACAGCTGCACACCTTAGAGATATGAAGGAGTACATGTCAGGAGTTGCAATTTGGCAGAGTATTTGGTGTCCAAATCATGTGCACATAAAATAAACCAGATTTGTAGGTAGTCAGGGGACCGAAAACCAGGTCAAAATAAAAACGAAATGCTGAGACTGTTTCTACAAACAGTGCAATTGTGACTGTACAGTGATGATTTTGAGCAGAATTCCATGAATTCCAGAAGGAGCCATCTGTATGCAACAACCTGAAATGATATGCAAAATTCCAGGATGAAGGCTGTAAGTGCACTGCTCCTCATCCCAAATGTCCAGGACCAAGTGAACTCATGTGACTATGAAGATTTGTTAAGTACACTGTCTTTGTGCTCCTATTACTTCCTAAACTCCAAGAACTATGGGACCATATTAATGTAGCTGCAGCATTGGTTGATCATAATATGATGACATGGTGTTTAGAAAGAAATAGCTTATTGACTAGATATGTGCTGCATCAGCAAAGGAGAACACATTGAAAATTTGTGACTCAATAAACTTGAAGAGTTTANAAATGTACAAACAAATAAAAACACAGCAAAGTGGGTACTTGCAGCTAGTTATTTATAATATACAACATATATTGATATACCTAATATTAAATAAAAACCAACATTGAAATTAATTGTTTCTTAAAAAGATTTGTGATAAATTTATGGAATGAACTTAAATTGAGGGATTTAGAAACTAGAAATAAAACTGACCTTAGAACTGTACTTATGACAGAATGGAATAAAATTAGCCCTGAATATACTGCAAAACTGGTTCAGTTGATGCCAAAGAGATTAAAGACTGTACTACATTCTAAAGGAGAAATAACTAAATATTAAATTACTAAATTCTCTATTTTTGATAACTTTTTTATTTGTTCAAATACTAAATTGCAACACAAAACTTGTAGAAATAAATCTCAATTTCAATTTTTTAAAATAAGTTGTTATAAAGTAAAAATTAAAACTGTATTCATTTTTATAACCTGTTCATTCTTTTTGTGTGACAAATAAAAAATAAATAAATTCAACTTTATTTCTTTCATTTTTTTTTTTTTTTTTTTATATATCAAATATGTCTGTTTGAATATTCAATGGAGTAATACATATACACAACATTTAAATTACTTTTTAACAAATTTAAATTCTACATTATAACAAATTTTTGATTAAAAAAAACCATTTAACAGAATTAAAGTTTAGATTGTCTTTATATCTAATAACCGTTCATAAATGCAATTATTATTGTAATTTCCATGGAGTTATTATATTTTAAACAAAAATTCAAAGGTAAATAATTACTATACGATAAAAATATTTAGTGTTTATAATTTAAAACAAAGTTCAGTTTATTCAGAACAAAAATTATGAATACTGTAATAACCAATAGTCTCAAATGGTCTTTCTTCAATATACGTACAAGAAATTTTTTAAAAATTTTGATAGAGATAAATTACTGTTCTAAGACAATGCTTTAAAAAATATTCTGCATCAATATTAAGAAAATTGATAAAATTTCTGAAAGCTGATTGTATATGAACTTTTTACACAAAACTGAATGTGAATTACTATCATATTACAATAATTCACTTTTACTTACCATTTATGGTCAATAGTTTAAATCTCACTTATATGTGAGAGTTAAACTATTGACCATTAATGGCATCAATGTCTTGATTGTCTAGAAAGGAAAGTTATAATATGTTCCCCAAAGATTTTAATAAAACTGTATAAAGGTCTTGGTATGAATCTATACTGAGCAAAGGGAGAAAGAGCATGCTTCTCAAACATTTTCAAAAAAATAACAAGAGACTTAAAAGTTTTGTGAAACTTTTCTGTGAAGACCACATGACTTGCTATACATGCCTAATTTATATTTGAGATTGCTGGTTCATGTTTTAATAGTGAATTTCTTTTTCAAATCAATGTGATTTTTATTTAAAACTGTAAATCACATGGATTTATTCATTTTATCTATTTTATATTAAAAACAGGCACTTTCTTTCTTGGAAAAAGATTTTCAGTTAAAAATAAATTTAAAGATTCTTACATTTGTGGATTAAGATTATTATGAATAATTTGACTTTTTAAGCACATACAACTAGCTTCCAATATCACATTGATTGTTATAACTAATAACTTTTTTAAGTTATTTAATTGCTTAAAAACTTATAAGATGCTCAAGATTTTTTCAACTTCAAAACATTTGAGATGCAAACTTTTCCCTTCTGCTAATATAGGTTTATACTAAGGCTTATTCACATATACAGTTTTATTGACATTTCTGAGAATCGTGTCGTAATAATCTTACAAGATGAGGTTATGAGAAGTTTATTTTTATTTTATCAATTGTTTTTAAGTCTATAAAGTTTTTTAAAAACAAATACAATTCATGTCTTAAGTAAAATAATTTATTCTTACCTCATTAAAAATATTAAATTTATGTTTTAAATAAAATACATAGAAGTTTAACCTACAAAATATAAATTTATTTCAAGANCCATCTGTCATGAGATTTTTTTTATTAAAATTTTTTATATTGTTATTATTTTAAGAAGACAAAAGTGCAGAAGGAGTTTTAAAAACATTATACTAAAACTTTCAAAGAAATATTCATGAACTATTTTGCTATTGTTACATCAATGATTGAATATATTTTCAGTAATTTACATTAATTATAATTGAAGTACTGAATTTTATAAATATTAGAGCATCTAAAACAATCATTTATACATAAGACTGTTCTACAATATTTATATAATATGAATATGCAATTTCTTACAAAAAACTGGTAGCATCAATATCTAATATTTAAGAATACTGATTATTCAATAAAAAATTAACTATTAATATAAACACACAAAATACTTACTTGTAGATTGACGATTCTGTCTTGAAGTTCTTTAATAAGTTCTAATTTTTCTTGTAATTCTGGATTATTTTCAAAAGCTTCATTGAGTGAATTAATTATCATTCTACAAACAATTTTTGAAAAGTGTAATAAGCATTGTCAAATATAATTGCATTTGTTTAATAACATCTTATAATAGTTATAGACTACTGTTAAACTATATTAATTAACTTTTACGCTAAATTTTATTTTTCAAATTTAAAAAATTACTGGAATAATTCCAACAAGCAGTAATTTTTCAAATTCAAAAGAATAATGTCAAAGAATAACATTCACTGTAACTTCATAACATTCAACAAAACAATTCAAATTATATATTACTAATTAATCGTTATTTATCACAGTCAAACCCCATTATATCTTTTTAAAAGAAACTGGGAAAAGTATTGTACAAATGAGGAAAACATACAATTGAAACTACTCTCAACTTTCTTTCAGTGAATATACATACTCATCATAAAATTATGGTGCAGCACAAATTAACACTATACAACTGAACTTGTATGTGTAATTCTTAACAAAGAAGATTCAATTCACTATGTATAATACATTTGAACAATGTCTAAAAGAAAAAGTAAAACAGTAAAATTAAGTCATATACAATACTTTTTAAAAGATGATCAAGTTTTGTTTGTTTCTTGTTTTCTTTGATGACTTGGTTGTCTATTGATACGTATGTAATGTCAGTTTCTCCTCCTGCCAAAAATCCAGTCACATGAAACAATGAAGAGTCATTCTAAAGCTAGCTAACACTGACAGAGAAAACAATGAGAAACCAGACATAGTGATTTTATTTGCTGAGGAAAATTGGTTCACACTAAAAACCATGCAAAAATTTTCAATTTTGCACTGGTGGAGCAATTTGCTAAATGGAAATATTCATCAGAAACACTCTGCTATTTTACAAATAAAATAAAACATCTAAAATAATTTAAATACTATCAGTTTTGTAATAAACTTATTTTAAGATTCAGTTTCACCTGAAAACAAACATATTATTTGCTTTTTTCTAGTTAATTTAATTGTTTTATTTAACTAATTCTTATATTATCTGAATAACTGTTGTAAAGTTTTTTATATAATGTGAAAATGAACTTTAGTTAAAAAATTATGAATTTGTTTCAAACTCTTCTGATATATTTATTAACGAGAAAAAAATGTATTAGTTTAATTAATGCATTTTAAAAATATATTGTTCAATTAATGCATGGTTAACTCTATTATCTTAAATCTATCTTATAAAACAGAATTTCTCAAACAAGAGTCAACAGACCAATTGCAGTGTGTCTGAAATATTTAGAAGACAGCTAGTAATGTGTGTTTATTTTCCTAAAAATATACTTATAAAATCAAGCATTTCATTATAGAATATTATTTACCTTTTATACGATTAGCATGTATACTAGTGTGAGAATTGCCAGTGAGGCAATTCACATTTCTCCAAAATGGTTTAAGATAGGAGACTGAGAGATTGAAAAATCTCTGTCTTCAAAATTTTGGGAGTATCAAGAGAACAATCAAAGAACTGAGAGAACTTTAGGAGGGAACACACTGAAAACTCAGGGAGAGAACCCAAAAAGTTTGGTGTTCTTGAGTTTTATAGTCCGAATCTCTTCCAATGAGGAGTTATTAAGACACACCATGTGATGGACACCAGGGGTGAGTCGTGCTGCCACAAGATGTGTCAACAACTTTTAAGATAATTAGTGTCATTTGTGGGAAATGAGCTAATCTCAGCCAAACAAAAAGGACGTTCCTTTTTCCTCATTAACTAAACTCAAAAGTAGAGTAGAATTTAATGATCATTTTGAACAAGCAAATTCTCAATGTCTTTTAATAATTAAAACAAAATTAAATAAATCTCTTTTAAATTGGATAAAGCATGTCAGATGGCTTCCAAGTTCTCAAACTAGCATGCTAATATAAAGGGTTATTCATAAACTACATAACAGATACTATATTTTTGATGAGACCATGCCTCTCTAAAATTGCCCTGCTGTCAACGGCTGCACACCTTAGAGATATGAAGGAGTACATGTCAGGAGTTGCAATTTGGCAGAGTATTTGGTGTCCAAATCATGTGCACATAAAATAAACCAGATTTGTAGGTAGTCAGGGGACCGAAAACCAGGTCAAAATAAAAACGAAATGCTGAGACTGTTTCTACAAACAGTGCAATTGTGACTGTACAGTGATGATTTTGAGCAGAATTCCATGAATTCCAGAAGGAGCCATCTGTATGCAACAACCTGAAATGATATGCAAAATTCCAGGATGAAGGCTGTAAGTGCACTGCTCCTCATCCCAAATGTCCAGGACCAAGTGAACTCATGTGACTATGAAGATTTGTTAAGTACACTGTCTTTGTGCTCCTATTACTTCCTAAACTCCAAGAACTATGGGACCATATTAATGTAGCTGCAGCATTGGTTGATCATAATATGATGACATGGTGTTTAGAAAGAAATAGCTTATTGACTAGATATGTGCTGCATCAGCAAAGGAGAACACATTGAAAATTTGTGACTCAATAAACTTGAAGAGTTTATCTTTATTTCAATGTTAAAAAATATAGTATCTGTTGTGTAGCTTATGAATAATAAATTTTGAAAATATTTTATGAACTTATGAATAACCTTGTATATATTAGTATAATTATATAATGTATATTTTTATATAAATAATGCATAATAAGTAAATAGAAAATGTGATTTTATAGTAAATTTCACATTTCAGTGTTTCATAACTAGCATTGTAACTTCTTTATAACAGAAGTTACAATGGTAATTATATATAGTAGTATTTTTTGTGTTACTAATTATAAAATAAGAAAATTACTATCAATACCTTATNTTCCATGTGTTTATATTATTGCATCATAAGATCACATTGTAGCCATACTTTCATTCAATAACTGTCAACTTTTAAACCTGGGAGCTAAACATCTGTTAAGTTCTCAGGCTTAATAAAGACGCTTTCTCAGCACCTTTCGACCTAATATCTCGATTTCAACAATACAACCTTAGGACAGAACAACAAAGAGCAGTCATCACCAGTTCCTTGAGCAGACCACTCAAGTTTTCCCTGTGCTAAAATATTTGGATATTTCCTTGCCTTTGGACACCTCCTCACCTAATAACTAGTTACCTAAGAACTGTGGAAATAAGAACTGTCTTCTTTTGTGTCTGACTGACGTGCAGAAGATCAAGATTTCATACAAGGTATTTATCGCCACTCGAAACTTATGTAAACTCTCTCTCTCTCGAGAACCGCAGAAGTGTAACAGAAATCTTAAATCTAATTTAATGTCTATTTTATATCTATTGTAGCAAAGATTCCTAAAAACTAGCCTAGTTAAAATCAATATATTTTATATCCTGTATGGCCTATAGTTATCAATTAATTAATTAAACCGTTGTTACGTTAAAGCGTCTCTGAGTAAGTCACTTCCGGTGCACTGTCTCTCCTTCCATCCCATCCGTTCGCTCACACACGCGACCACTCACACGCCCAAACGAAACGGTTTCTGTATCTAGCTGTGAAGACACAGTGGTGTCAGTCCTGACGAAACTGTCATTGTGATCTTCGCCGATGCAATGTCGACCCTTCGGTCACGTGGTGCCGAAGTATAGGGAGGCCCTTTGGCATTGCCACACGGTATAATTATATAATGTATATTTTTATATAAATAATGCATAATAAGTAAATAGAAAATTTGATTTTATAGTAAATTTCACATTTCAGTGTTTCATAACTTCTTGTGAGGATTCGAATCCAGACTTTCCATGTGTTTATATTATTGCATCATAAGATCACATTGTAGCCATACTTTCATTCAATAACTGTCAACTTTTAAACCTGGGAGCTAAACATCTGTTAAGTTCTCAGGCTTAATAAAGACGCTTTCTCAGCACCTTTCGACCTAATATCTCGATTTCAACAATACAACCTTAGGACAGAACAACAAAGAGCAGTCATCACCAGTTCCTTGAGCAGACCACTCAAGTTTTCCCTGTGCTAAAATATTTGGATATTTCCTTGCCTTTGGACACCTCCTCACCTAATAACTAGTTACCTAAGAACTGTGGAAATAAGAACTGTCTTCTTTTGTGTCTGACTGACGTGCAGAAGATCAAGATTTCATACAAGGTATTTATCGCCACTCGAAACTTATGTAAACTCTCTCTCTCTCGAGAACCGCGGAAGTGTAACAGAAATCTTAAATCTAATTTAATGTCTATTTTATATCTATTGTAGCAAAGATTCCTAAAAACTAGCCTAGTTAAAATCAATATATTTTATATCCTGTATGGCCTATAGTTATCAATTAATTAATTAAACCGTTGTTACGTTAAAGCGTCTCTGAGTAAGTCACTTCCGGTGCACTGTCTCTCCTTCCATCCCATCCGTTCGCTCACACACGCGACCACTCACACGCCCAAACGAAACGGTTTCTGTATCTAGCTGTGAAGACACAGTGGTGTCAGTCCTGACGAAACTGTCATTGTGATCTTCGCCGATGCAATGTCGACCCTTCGGTCACGTGGTGCCGAAGTATAGGGAGGCCCTTTGGCATTGCCACACGGTATAATTATATAATGTATATTTTTATATAAATAATGCATAATAAGTAAATAGAAAATTTGATTTTATAGTAAATTTCACATTTCAGTGTTTCATAACTAGCATTGTAACTTCTTTATAACAGAAGTTACAATGGTAATTATATATAGTAGTATTTTTTGTGTTACTAATTATAAAATAAGAAAATTACTATCAATACCTTATTTTATCTTTTATTTCTTCTAATCTTTGAAGTAGTTTATCTTTAGTCATTTCAGCCTAAAACAAAAGAAAAATATGTTATATACATTATTAAATTTCAATTTAATACTTAAAAATAATCTTTCATACCAATAAAGCTTTTTCACAAAGTACGGTAGTTTGATCTAATGCACTTTGTAATTCTTTTGCTAATCGTCTATTTTCTTCTTCCAATTTCTTGTTCTGATCTAACAGAATTCTGAAGTTTTTCTTTTTAGAAGACTCTTCTAAACAATCTATTCCATTGGCTGTATTGGCTTGTAATAATTGTAACTGGAGCTGTTGAACCTATGAAATACATTTTTAAGCATTTAAATGCAACTATTTTATTAAATAAAATGTGAATTTTATTCATATAAATTAAAATACTGTAATATTTTCATAATTTTATGAATGCTAATTCACAATACATTTGATATGTTTAAATATTATCTTAAAATTTGATATAGTAAAAGTATCATCATTACCATAATATAAATAAAATCCAGCAACAAATTGCATAATGTTTCTGGCAAAATCATTTAAAATTGTGTTGGCACCATCTGTTATGATATTTTATTAAAAAACTTATATTATTATTATTATTATTACAGTAGAGCCTCGAAAACTCTGCCTAATGTGGACCGAAGGGTGGCCGAGTTGTGAAAATGCCAGGTTATCGGGAATGGGGTTAAAAAATGATAAGTATGCGTGTTTCCTCAGAAAATATTGTACTGTACTTGTATGTATTGTTTGCTTGAGAATACAACAGAGAATAAACTGCCCAAATACCCTTAAACAAAGGAAAAGTACGTCCTTTATGAAGGCATAGAGCCTTTACTACATGAAAATGAAAATTAAT